CGGGTCAAACAAACCAACACCCCACCACGGCGGGAATCGGAAACTCCAGACACACCGGACAGAAAGGTAGAAGTGGAAATCTTAGACCGAGTAAGGAGTTGGGGGATCCGCTACCAAGGAGCAACCAATCCCTTGGAATTCATCAGCAAGATGGAGGAATGAGCCAAAGGCTACGGCATACACAAAGATGCCCTGATCCAGACGATGCCATTCATCCTAGAAGGAGTAGCAGTGGACTGGTGGAACACCACACCGAGCCAGATAAGGACATGGGAGGACCTCAGGGAGGAACTGTTAGAATACTTTTGCCACCAAGATATCAGGAACAGTTGGAAACACAAATCACTCAACTACGGCAGCGAGAAACAGAACCAACAAGGGAATACGCAATGAACCTGAGGAAACTAATGAGATTTACAGAGTATTCAGAAGAGACAAAGCTGGACCGGATATACAGAAACTGCAGAAGTAAAATAAAGCTCTACACGAGACGGTCGGGATTTAAAACATTAACAGAATTCCTGAGGTTGGCAGAAGAAGTGGAAGAAATAGAAACTATGGAAGGAACCAACAGACCAATAAAAACAGGAAACCAGAACTTGACGTCGGAAATCTGCATAAGATGCGGAGGAACAGGGCACGCCGCAAGAACCTGCACAAACCCCCCAAGACTGTTTTGCTGCGTATGCGGCAGAAATGGAACAAGAACAACGGAATGTTGCCGAGCTGGAGCGGGAAACGCCAGAGGCCTGAGCAGGTAACGCTGGTAGCTCAGGACCAAAAACAAATACCAGCGACAGGGGAACAATTAAGTTGTGACGGATTCCAAATATTTGCCACAGTAAAAATCGGACCAGTAAAAGCAAAAGGAACAGTGGACACAGGAGCTCCACGAAGTGTGATCAGCAAGAGAAGATACATTGAGAAAATATGGAAAATGGAGGAAGGGAAGGACAGAAATAACATTAGCGAACGGATCAAAGCAAAGATCGGATGGAGACTTTACAACCAACATACAGTTCGCAGGAGAAGAATTCGAGTTGGACTTCCTCATCTTAAATCAGGTGACAGGAGGAATATTATTAGGAATAGACTTTCTGGCCAAAACACGCACAAGAATCCAATGCGGCAACCTGGAATTAGATATCACCGAGGCAGAGACAACACAAGGAGAAATAGAACCCGAGCAGAGCACAGACGATACGAAACCGACGGAGGAGGAAATCAGCAAATTTCTGGAACAACAAAGGCAAGTATTCGAGGGAATGAAGGGAACCAGTAATATCACGACACATAAAATTTACATGAAGGACGACAGACCGGTAAAACAAATATACTACCCACGGAACCCGAAACAACAAGCGATAATAAATGAACAAGTGGATGAATTGCTGGCACTAGGGTTGATTGAACCATCGCACAGCCCATACAGCGCGCCAGTAGTATTGGTAAAAAAGAAGAACAACGAGTGGAGAATGTGTGTGGACTATCGACTGTTGAACGAAAGAACAGAAAAAGACGCCTACCCGGTACCAAGGATGGACTTTATATTAAACCAGCTAAGAGAAGCAAAGTTCATAAGTACGCTAGACCTGAAATCGGGGTATTGGCAGATACCAATGGAAGGTCTCAGTCGACAATACACAGCGTTCACAGTACCGGGACGAGTCTTGTTCCAGTGGAAGGTCATGCCGTTCGGACTCACGACAGCACCAGCCACATTAAAGAGAGCTCTAGATACGGTCATAGGCCCAGAGATGGAGCCATTCGCGTTCGCATACCTGGACGATATCGTGGTAATCGGAAGAAACAAAAAAGAACACTTGGAGAAATTAAGAGAGGTTTTCAGAAGGTTGCAAGCGGCAAACCTAAAGATAAATGCGGAAAAGTGTCATTTCTTCCAAACCGAGCTAAAATACTTGGGACACATTGTAACCGACAGAGGCATCAGGACGGACCCGGAGAAAGTGGCAGCCATTCGAGAATTACCAGCCCCAAAAGGCACTAAGGAAGTACACAGCTTTTTAGGGATGGCATCATGGTACAGGAAATTCATCCCAGGGTTCACGGAGAAAGCAAGCGCCCTACAAGAACTGGTAAAGAAAGGAAAAAAAATTCGAATGGCGGACAGAACATCAAGAGGCGTTCGAGAAGATTAAAGAAAGTTTAACAACGGCACCAGTACTAGCATGCCCAGACTTCACCAAACAATTCAAGCTACAGACAGACGCAAGCGAGCTGGGGATAGGAGCAGTATTAACCCAGGAAGACTCCGAGGGGGAACATGTCATCTCATACGCAAGCCGGAAGCTGAGCAAGGAAGAGCGAAACTATAGCGCCACAGAAAAAGAGTGCCTGGCAATCTACTGGAGCATCAACAAATACAAAATGTATCTGGAAGGATACCGATTTGTAGTGGTGACGGATCACCTAGCGTTGAAATCGCTAAACTCCATAGAAAGCCCTTCAGGGAGGGTAGCCAGATGGGCGCTCGGACTACAACCGTTCAGTAGCAGACGCATTGTCCAGGGCCCCACCAGTAGAAATAAAGTCTGCGAACTGTCAGGGCGACTGGTTGAAGGAGGCATACGAGGAGGCGCAGAAAGACCCGAGCATCAAAGAATTCAGAATAGAAGGAGAAAGACTCTACAAAAGATGCGGGAGAGAAAGGGACAGACAACCATGGAAGCTGTGCATTTCACAAAGCGAGATTCAAACGGTGCTTAAAGAAAACCACTGCAACACAACAGCGGGGCACATGGAGATATTAAAAACACAGAGGAAAATTATGCAACGATATTTTTGGCCCAGAATGCGGAAGGACATTGTCAAATTCGTAAAGGCGTGCGAGAGCTGCCAGTGATACAAATTATCTCAACAAAAAACCGCAGGGAAAATGCTGACAAGAATAACCGAAGCACCGTGGGAAACCGTATGTGTCGACTTCGTCGGACCTCTACCACGCACGAAGCATGGAAGGATTATGAAACTACAGTCACACTGGCGAGGGCCGGGAGGATATAAAAAGGGCGCCGGGGCCCATACAGATCACTCTGCGGCCGACGGCGATCGGAGAAGGCTTACCCTTTGGAGTGAGCAAACTTCTCTGGGAGTTAACTGCGGAGTCTTTTTCGGGATAGGGTCTAGTACCCCGTCCACCCAATACATTGTAGTTAGTTGTTTCCCCCCTTCCCCTTCTCCCCACCCCCTAAGGACCGGCCGTCATCAGTGATATCCGACCTTTGGGATCCCACACCCCAAGACCGACCGTCATTAGTTTCACCCGATCTTTTGGGGACTCCACCACTCGGTTCTCCGAGGCGCTCCTCGGCCGTCTGCCGAACCGATCCCACCTGGTTCTCACCCGGGTTGCGTCGGTCCGCAACGCGCCCTGACCACCACTCGGTTCTCCGAGGCCCACCGCCGGCCCTGCGCGCCCGGAACTAGGACCGATCAGATCGGCGAGGCCGACCCCTAGTGGTCGCCACACTTCTCATTCCCTGGTAGACCCAAGCGGCCTGCATCCTCTTTTCGGAACTGGCAGACCTAAGCGGCTCCACCCTCTTCTCGAAACTAGCAGACCCAAGCGGCCTCCAAACTGTCTCATCCTCCTAGACATAAGCATAGCCCAGAGGGACGTGGCTGTTTTCCTTTCTCATCCACAGGGTACCCGCCGCAGCCACCGCCGCCGACGCCGCCGCCACCGGGACGACGACGGCCAACGACGACGCCGAACGACGACACGGAAGAAGACCCCGGCAACCTACGGGCGGACAAGCCCCTGCAGCACGAACTATATATATATATATATCCTATGTAACAAATAATTCTTAATAAACGCATACCGATTCGATTTCACTGAACCCGCTTACGTGTCATACTTTGGGAACCGGGTCGACCTCTTACAGCAACCACTCCTGACATAAATAAATATTGGAACGAGCCCCTGGACACCGTTGAACTACCTCAGCAAAGCAGGATCGTTACATGGCGCCCGAGCAGGTTAAAGTGGTTGCAAAGAGAAAGACATCGGTACAGAGTTATGTCGACGTGGGTGTACCTAGCAACTAAGGTGGATCTGATCAAGTACGCAAGAGAGTTCGGATTAGACACAACAGGAAAAGTGGAGGAGCTAAGACAGATACTGTCAGCATTCGCAAAGAACCCAAACCACACGGAGACGATAATGCAAAGACTAGGAGTACTAGCAGAGAAGCACAAGAAGGAAAAAGGAGCAACGGATCAGAACAGCACACCAGCGGAGGAACTCAACACAATGGCGAACCAGATCGACATACGGGTCAAACAAACCAACACCCCACCACGGCGGGAATCGGAAACTCCAGACACACCGGACAGAAAGGTAGAAGTGGAAATCTTAGACCGAGTAAGGAGTTGGGGGATCCGCTACCAAGGAGCAACCAATCCCTTGGAATTCATCAGCAAGATGGAGGAATGAGCCAAAGGCTACGGCATACACAAAGATGCCCTGATCCAGACGATGCCATTCATCCTAGAAGGAGTAGCAGTGGACTGGTGGAACACCACACCGAGCCAGATAAGGACATGGGAGGACCTCAGGGAGGAACTGTTAGAATACTTTTTGCCACCAAGATATCAGGAACAGTTGGAAACACAAATCACTCAACTACGGCAGCGAGAAACAGAACCAACAAGGGAATACGCAATGAACCTGAGGAAACTAATGAGATTTACAGAGTATTCAGAAGAGACAAAGCTGGACCGGATATACAGAAACTGCAGAAGTAAAATAAAGCTCTACACGAGACGGTCGGGATTTAAAACATTAACAGAATTCCTGAGGTTGGCAGAAGAAGTGGAAGAAATAGAAACTATGGAAGGAACCAACAGACCAATAAAAACAGGAAACCAGAACTTGACGTCGGAAATCTGCATAAGATGCGGAGGAACAGGGCACGCCGCAAGAACCTGCACAAACCCCCCCAAGACTGTTTTGCTGCGTATGCGGCAGAAATGGAACAAGAACAACGGAATGTTGCCGAGCTGGAGCGGGAAACGCCAGAGGCCTGAGCAGGTAACGCTGGTAGCTCAGGACCAAAAACAAATACCAGCGACAGGGGAACAATTAAGTTGTGACGGATTCCAAATATTTGCCACAGTAAAAATCGGACCAGTAAAAGCAAAAGGAACAGTGGACACAGGAGCTCCACGAAGTGTGATCAGCAAGAGAAGATACATTGAGAAAATATGGAAAATGGAGGAAGGGAAGGACAGAAATAACATTAGCGAACGGATCAAAGCAAAGATCGGATGGAGACTTTACAACCAACATACAGTTCGCAGGAGAAGAATTCGAGTTGGACTTCCTCATCTTAAATCAGGTGACAGGAGGAATATTATTAGGAATAGACTTTCTGGCCAAAACACGCACAAGAATCCAATGCGGCAACCTGGAATTAGATATCACCGAGGCAGAGACAACACAAGGAGAAATAGAACCCGAGCAGAGCACAGACGATACGAAACCGACGGAGGAGGAAATCAGCAAATTTCTGGAACAACAAAGGCAAGTATTCGAGGGAATGAAGGGAACCAGTAATATCACGACACATAAAATTTACATGAAGGACGACAGACCGGTAAAACAAATATACTACCCACGGAACCCGAAACAACAAGCGATAATAAATGAACAAGTGAATGAATTGCTGGCACTAGGGTTGATTGAACCATCGCACAGCCCATACAGCGCGCCAGTAGTATTGGTAAAAAAGAAGAACAACGAGTGGAGAATGTGTGTGGACTATCGACTGTTGAACGAAAGAACAGAAAAAGACGCCTACCCGGTACCAAGGATGGACTTTATATTAAACCAGCTAAGAGAAGCAAAGTTCATAAGTACGCTAGACCTGAAATCGGGGTATTGGCAGATACCAATGGAAGGTCTCAGTCGACAATACACAGCGTTCACAGTACCGGGACGAGTCTTGTTCCAGTGGAAGGTCATGCCGTTCGGACTCACGACAGCACCAGCCACATTAAAGAGAGCTCTAGATACGGTCATAGGCCCAGAGATGGAGCCATTCGCGTTCGCATACCTGGACGATATCGTGGTAATCGGAAGAAACAAAAAAGAACACTTGGAGAAATTAAGAGAGGTTTTCAGAAGGTTGCAAGCGGCAAACCTAAAGATAAATGCGGAAAAGTGTCATTTCTTCCAAACCGAGCTAAAATACTTGGGACACATTGTAACCGACAGAGGCATCAGGACGGACCCGGAGAAAGTGGCAGCCATTCGAGAATTACCAGCCCCAAAAGGCACTAAGGAAGTACACAGCTTTTTAGGGATGGCATCATGGTACAGGAAATTCATCCCAGGGTTCACGGAGAAAGCAAGCGCCCTACAAGAACTGGTAAAGAAAGGAAAAAAATTCGAATGGCGGACAGAACATCAAGAGGCGTTCGAGAAGATTAAAGAAAGTTTAACAATGGCACCAGTACTAGCATGCCCAGACTTCACCAAACAATTCAAGCTACAGACAGACGCAAGCGAGCTGGGGATAGGAGCATTATTAACCCAGGAAGACTCCGAGGGGGAACATGTCATCTCATACGCAAGCCGGAAGCTGAGCAAGGAAGAGCGAAACTATAGCGCCACAGAAAAAGAGTGCCTGGCAATCTACTGGAGCATCAACAAATACAAAATGTATCTGGAAGGATACCGATTTGTAGTGGTGACGGGTCACCTAGCGTTGAAATCGCTAAACTCCATAGAAAGCCCTTCAGAGAGGGTAGCCAGATGGGCGCTCGGACTACAACCGTTCAGTAGCAGACGCATTGTCCAGGGCCCCACCAGTAGAAATAAAGTCCGCGAACTGTCAGGGCGACTGGTTGAAGGAGGCATACGAGGAGGCGCAGAAAGACCCGAGCATCAAAGAATTCAGAATAGAAGGAGAAAGACTCTACAAAAGATGCGGGAGAGAAAGGGACAGACAACCATGGAAGCTGTGCATTTCACAAAGCGAGATTCAAACGGTGCTTAAAGAAAACCACTGCAACACAACAGCGGGGCACATGGAGATATTAAAAACACAGAGGAAAATTATGCAACGATATTTTTGGCCCAGAATGCGGAAGGACATTGTCAAATTCGTAAAGGCGTGCGAGAGCTGCCAGTGATACAAATTATCTCAACAAAAAACCGCAGGGAAAATGCTGACAAGAATAACCGAAGCACCGTGGGAAACCGTATGTGTCGACTTCGTCGGGCCTCTACCACGCACGAAGCATGGAAACACCACACTAATAGTGATAGTGGATAGATTTTCTAAATGGACTGAACTCGCGGCAATAAGGAGCGCAACGGCAGAGGCATTCCTGAAAATATTTCGTGAGCGGATAATCGCCAGAGTGGGTGCGCCAAAAACACTGATATCAGACAATGGGGTCCAGTTTACGGGAGGAAAAATAAAGACCGCCATGGAACAGTGGGGCATACAGCAACAATTCACGACGCCATATACGCCGCAGCAGAACCCATCCGAAAGAACAAACCGAACCATAAAAACCATGATATCACAAATGGCAGGGGAGGAACAAACTAGGTGGGACGAGAATCTGCCGGAGCTAATGCTAGCATACAACAGCAGCACATCCGAATCAACGGGATTCAGCCCAGCCCAAATACTGTATGGAAGAGAACTTCGACTGCCGGGAGCACTGTTCGACAAGGTCACCAAAGGGTCAGGATTAGCGACAGAAACAGTAGCAGCAAGGTGGAAGAGACTACAATGCATCAGAAGCGAAGCGATCGAGAACATGGAAGGAGCAGCAGAGATACAAAAACACCATTACGACCTACGTAAAAGAGAGTGGAAGCCAAGTGTAGGACAGCTCGTCTGGTGCAAAACACACTACCTATCCAACGCAGCGGAAAAATTCAACGCTAAATTAGCACCGAAATATGACGGGCCGTGGGTAGTAGACAAATTTTGTTCACCGGTGATAGTTATATTAAAAAATTGTAAATCGAAGAAAGCAAAACGCGCATACATCGGAGATGTAAATATGTATATTGACACTAACCATGAACTAACCAACCGGGATAAGAAAGAAACAAAAGGTAACTCAAACGATGTATTATTAATTTCAGAAAACAACAACATGAACAAATTCGACGTCACAAAGAAGAAGTTCCGGGAGAGCAGCACACGGCTGCAGCAAGAAAGGCGAACGGCGAGGTTGATACCGGCGAGACCAGCAGGGGCGGGCATACGGGTCAGGACAGCACCGACTCGCTTCAGACCACCAATGTGCATGCTAGCTCTGGCACAAAGAGAAGAGCAGTCACGACCAGAGGAGCGACAGACAGCCCGACCGCCAGCAAGAACGGCCGTGGCGACCGATAGAGGCGGACGGACCCGTATCGCCCATGTTCCTCGCAGCTCTCTTGAGGCGGTGACCGACGGAAGTGTCCAGGAACAACAGGGAGAACGGGCAAGGACACCGTCGCCAGACCGGGACATCCTGGAGCTACACCCGATGGACATGGATACACAAGCGGCGGATGCACAGGCAGAGAAAGCAACACCAAGCCAGGAGACAGAGGCACGCCCAGACGCACAGGCGCCACGAGTGGAGTGTTTCACAAACGATATGGGGTGGATCGTACCCAGAGATGCGACGATGTCAGCCAGGGCGGTCAACGAAATCAAAGAGAGATGGAACAGGAGGAGAAAGGGGAAACAGCAGAGTATCCTAGTGAAGGACGACCAGAAGACGTGGAAGGTCATCTTTGGAAGGGGAAGCCGCATCACGATAAGACACTTCGTGCCTTCTCAAGAGGGGGGGAGGTGTGACGCTCAGGAGCGCACAAAGTAGATATAATAACATAAGCAGTAGCTATAGATAGTCGTTAAGTAGGCAAGAAGCCGAAATAGTTATAAGTTCAAAGGTAAAAAGCCGAAATAATTATAAGTTCAAAGGCAAGAAGCCGAAATAAATTTAAGTTAAATGGAAATATTCAAATTTAAATATCCGGGCGGGCGCGCCAAACCAAGGAAACGGTCACACTGACCAATAGCCACCACAAGCCACACGCGGTATGGCCATGGCTATAGGATTATGAAACTACAGTCACACTGGCGAGGGCCGGGAGGATATAAAAAGGGCGCCGGGGCCCATACAGATCACTCTGCGGCCGACGGCGATCGGAGAAGGTAAGGCTTTCCCTTTGGAGTGAGCAAACTTCTCTGGGAGTTAACTGCGGAGTCTTTTTTGGGATAGGGTCTAGTACCCCGTCCACCCAATATATTGTAGTTAGTTGTTTCCCCCCCCTTTCCCTTCTCCCCACCCCCCTAAGGACCGGCCGTCATCAGTGATATCCGAGCTTTGGGATCCCACCCCCCAAGACCGACCGTCATTAGTTACACCCGATCTTTTGGGAACTCCACCACTCGGTTCTCCGAGGCGCTCCTCGGCCGTCTGCCGAACCGATCCCACCTGGTTCTCACCCGGGTTGCGTCGGTCCGCAACGCGCCCTGACCACCACTCGGTTCTCCGAGGCCCACCGCCGGCCCTGCGCGCCCGGAACTAGCACCGATCAGATCGGCGAGGCCGACCCCTAGTGGTCGCCACACTTCTCATTCCCTGGTAGACCCAAGCGGCCTCCATCCTCTTTTCGGAACTGGCAGACCTAAGCGGCTCCACCCTCTTCTCGAAACTAGCAGACCCAAGCGGCCTCCAAACTGTCTCATCCTCCTAGACATAAGCATAGCCCAGAGGGACGTGGCTGTTTTCCTTTCTCATCCACAGGGTACCCGCCGCCGCCGCCGCCGACGCCGCCGCCACCGGGACGACGACGGCCAACGACGACGCCGAACGACGACACGGAAGAAGACCCCGGCAACCTACGGGCGGACAAGCCCCTGCAGCACGAACTATATATATATATATATCCTATGTAACAAATAATTCTTAATAAACGCATACCGATTCGATTTCACTGAACCCGCTTACGTGTCATACTCTGGGAACCGGGTCGACCTCTTACAGCAACCACTCCTGACATAAATAAATGTTGGAACGAGCCCCTGAACACCGTTGAACTACCTCAGCAAAGCAGGATCGTTACAAGTTGTGAATTCTGGAGTCGTAAATGCAATACTTTGCGATCTCCCCACGTTGGCAAGTTTCCAACACGACTTGATTTTACTTTTCCCTGCTACCCAGTTTTGGCATTGCAAAAATCTGGTGCAGGATGTAACGGACAAAAACGACCAGTTAGAAATCATCACTGCCGAACACAATCGAGCGCACAGAGCAGCTCAGGAAATTATTAAACAGGTACTCCGTAACTACTATTTTCCCAATATGGGCAACTTAGCCAAAGAAGTGGTTGCGAACTGCAGGGTCTGCACCAAAGCCAAGTACGATAGGCACCCGAAGAAGCAAGAACTTGGGGAAACGCCTATACCAAGTTATACTGGTGAAATGTTGCATATTGACATTTTCGCGACAGACAAGAAACAATTCTTGACCTGCATAGACAAATTTTCCAAATTTGCAGTCGTCCAGCCGATATTGTCCAGAACAATAGTCGATATCACAGGCCCTCTACTACAAATTGTTAACCTTTTCCCCGCAACCAAGTCAATTTATTGCGATAACGAGGCAGCTGTCCTTATTAAGGGGAGGGTGGTCCATAAGGACAACCTAAAATAGGCATCCCACCACAATTAGCTAGTAAGTCAAATTAGAGTAGAACAACGTCTTATATTGTTTATCCGTTTCAGGTTTGCACTCACTTTACTTGTAGTACTAGCAGCGGTACTGCCAACTACATTCCGGTCCTAGACGGAGAGGTACTGGTGTTCGATCAACGTAGCTACTTGAGACACTCAAGTAACATTTCTGAATTCATTAGTATGATAGATGAGACCACAGTCGCATATGCGCAAATTACTAGACGTAGATACAGATCACCACAGATTTGCACGAAGCCGGTACCCCTGATGCTTCAGATTTCCTAAAGGTCCGCGTTACAGAGGCTCAGTTGGTAGAGTCTAACTCCAAACAGATCTTAATAAACTCCGAAACTCAAAAGCAAATTAACAGATTGACGGACACTCGCAATAAAATTATCAGTTCCCGCAAAGGCGATTTGGTTGAAACTCCTCACTTATTTAAGACACTATTGACAAGGAATAGAATACTTAATACAGAAATTCAAAATTTAATACTCACAATAACGTTGGCAAAGGCAAACATAGTAAATCCTACAGTCCTTGATCATGCCGATCTGAAATCACTTATTGAACAAGATACCCCAATAGCTAGGAGTTGTTTGACCTCTTTGTTTATGAAATCAGAAACACCCATGAGGCTCGGGTATTTTGAATACACGGGCTCGTTGTCTACTGTTCGGATTGTAGCGACCACAGCAGTATTAACAGGGAGAGCTTCATCTGCATTTGAGAAAGCTTTTTTGTTTCTGAGTATCATGTCCCTGAACTCTTTCTTTACGGAAGGGGGAACTACGATGTCGTTGACATCGGTGAAGTTCACGTCAGCACATTGATAGTACTGGAGTTTTTCGGATATACCCTGGTATTCCAGAGTATTTTTTTCCAAGTTCAATTTGACCCCGGCTTGTGTTAGCAAGTCGAAGCCTATGATCGCGTCGAAAGAGTTTAGGGTATCGAGGAGAAAAAATGGGGAGGTATGTTTGAAAATATTCATCAAGCATTTGCGCTTGATTTCGGTAGACCCGTGGATCGAGTTTACCGAGAATGACTTGGCGACCGGCGTTATGGTCTTTAGCTCTGTTAAGGGCTTAACATAATTCTTTGCCGCGCCAGTGTCAATCAACATCTTCAGAGTTTTCCCAGTCAACCGCCGTTCAATGTACGGAAGCCGGGAGTGTTCCCTAAAAAATTAACCGAGTCGTCACAAGGTGCGAACTCGTTCTCACTCTCTAACTCTTCAACTGCCTCTTTGGCCGACTTCTCGTACTCTGTTACAGCTTCTTTGGAGTCAGTTTGCACGACATTGTTAACGCGTTGGCGTCTTTGACCTGTTGAACGGTCTGACGAGCTCTTGCGTTTTGGTGCGTTGGATTCATTAGCCTGACGCTTGCTATAGTCGGTTTTTTATCTGTATCTGGAGGAAGGGTCAACTTCCATGGGCTGTGGAGCCTCGGTTTGATTGTCTTTAGGGGTCTGGGGCTGGGGACCGCCATTTTGGCGTTTCACAAAATGGGGATTTTTCTCCTGATTTTGCTCATCTCTGTTAAATCTGGTTGGTTTGCCTTGGGCACGGATTTTGTTACCCTCAGCAATTTGCGCTCGGTCCTGCAGAGCTTTAGCGTAAGAGTTGGCAAACATGCTTCTCTCAATGCTAGCTTCTGCTTCCCTGGCCAGGGCCAGAGCGGATGGTAGATCTTTTGGTTGTGCAGGGAACACAACCGCTCTCAATGACTTTTTAAGGCCGGAGATGAAGGCGTGTAAGGCGTCGTCTCTAACCTCCCGGTTGAGCAAATCAGCGCCTTCTTGGTCGTGAGACATTACGATTTTGTTGGTAACGAGCGTGAGTTTCTTTTCAACGTCATCGTAGTATTGCATGAGGGACATCTCGCCCTGCGAAACTAACTCCAAGCTCTGTCTCAACAAACGCAAGGATGTTTTATCCGAGTATGTGCAATCTAGCCTAGCTATTATTGCATCGAAATTTAGGACAGTGTTGTGAGACACTAGTAAGGCTCCAGCTGGGCCTCTGATTTTGTTCCTAATAATCGCTACCGCTTGGTAGTGTGCAGTGCTCTTTGGAAAGCTTTTAAATATCTCGTACGCGTAGATGGCTGCTTGCCTCCACGCTACAACCGGCACGGTTTTAATAATGTCTAAGGGGATATCGCATTTGATTTTTGGATCGACGGATATTTTCTCGTATGTCATGATTTGCGGCGTTTCCACCTGCAAACTCTGTACTTGTGTAGCCAAAGCGTTTACTTGTGCTGTGAATTGATCTTGTTGTAGCGCTAAAGCTTGCCTGACGGCACCCTCAATGAGAGCCTGAACCTGGGCTAGCTCCATTTCTTCGGTTACAGCGGTGTCTGTAGGTATCTACTGAGCAATTGACTTCACCCTCCCAACTATCGTCACTATTATATTCTACTTTTATTTCCCTATAATTCCAACTCATTGGCTTGTGGTTGGCACTTTTCAAAACTTAGGCCGATCGTGAAAGGTCGGCATGTAAAGCTGTTGGCAATAATAGAAAATAGAGTATCTTGG